ACCCACCAGCACACCCAGCTAATTTTTGTACTTTTAGGAGAGATGGGGTTTCACCATGTTGGCCAGGCTGGTCTCGAAATCCTGGCCTCAAGTCATCTTCCTGCCTCGGCCTCCCAAAGTGCTGAGATTACAGGTGTGAGCCACCGTGCCTGGCCCCATGATTCTGTTATTGACAATCAAATGAGATTATCCATGCAAAGAGCTCATCACTGTACCAATGAAAGCATTCAATAACCGGTAGCAGTTAGTACAGGATTTTACAGTTGATGAAACCAAGGGTTGGAGAGACAGATAATTGTTCCACTGTTACACAGCTGGTAAGTGACACAGGCTTTCTCAGGTCTGTCTGACCAGAACCTAACATTCTTTCTCCCATACTAGTGGTTCTTAATTTGGAGCAGCTTTGTCTCCCAGGTGGTATTTGGCAATGTCTGGAGATAACTTTGGTTTTCATCACTGTGAATGTGGAGTGCTACTGTCATCTAGTGGGTAAAGCCTAGGAATGACATTAAACATCCTACAGGACCACATCTCTCCTACGCCCCCGAAACAAAGACTTCTCCAGCTCCAAATGTCAATAGTGCTAAGGTTGAGAAATTATGCCCTGTACTGTGGTGCCATCCTAAATAAGCCTTACCAGGTGAGGCATGGTGGCTCACACCTGTAATCCCAGCACTTTGGGAGGCTGAGGCAAGATCATCTGAGGTCAGGAGTTCAAGACTAGCCTGGCCAACATGGTGAAACCCGTCTCTACTAAAAATACAAAAATTAGCCAGGCACAGTGGTGCACACCTTTAGCCCCAGCTACTAGGGAAGCTGAGGCAGGAGAATCGCTGGAACCCAGGGGGTACAGGTTGCAGTGAGTCAAGATTGCACCACTGCACTCCAGCCTGGGTGACAGAGTGGGACTCTGTCTCAAAAAAATAAAAATAAAAATAAATAAGTCTTACCTTAGCATCAATACTAAGGCTGGTCCTAGGAGATTTTCTGAGCTTAGAATCACAGGCCCTGAACATAGAGAGCTCAGGCATGTCTAGCTTCCTCCAGCATGTATGCAATGCAGTGTCAAGATTCTTTTCTTCAGAGGCTGGATGAAACTAGGAGAGCAAGATTTTTGGAACCTTCCAAACCAAGACACAGGGCAAGCTGCCCCTGGTGATCTTGCTGCTTGAGAGTGGGTGATCATCACCAATAAACAGACATTTCATGATACAATGTGCCGGAACTCTGCACATGCCATTTTTCTCTTTTTCTTTTTCTTTTTTTTTTTTTGAGACAGAGTCTCTCTCTGTCACCCAGGCTGTAGTGCAGTGGCATGATCTTGGCTCACTGCAACCTCTGCCCCCCAGGTACAAGCTATTTTCCTGCCTCAGCCTCCTGAGTAGCTGGGAATACAGGTGTGCACCACCACACCCAGGTAGGATTTTTTGTGTTTTTAGTAGAGACGGGGTTTCACCCTGTTGGCCAGGCTGGTCCTGAACTCCTAGCCTTGGGTGGTCTGCCCGCCTCGGCCTCCCAAAGTGCTGGGGTTACAGATGTGAGTCACTGTGCTTGACCTGCACATGCTGTTCTATGACATCCTCCCAAGGACCCCTCTAAACAAGGGCCATATTCCCATTTTATACATAAGGAAATGAGTCTTTTTAAGAGGTTGTTCAGACTCCATAAATTCTGAGTGTCCAAGGCAGAGAAGACAGACATCAAATACCAGCTCAAACACTTAGTCATCATGTGCCTTTGGGCAATTTTTTGTCCTTCTCTGATCCTTTTTCCCAACCTGTAAAAACAGAGACAGGGCTACATGACCTTTAGGACAAAGTAAAATTTGGGACCATGGTGTCATACAGGCTTGAATTGATACCTAGCTCTCTCTTTCATATCTTGAGCCCTTAGGAGACTTTCTCTTTCTCAATATTTTACATTATTTTACTTTATTATTATTTTTTGAGACGGAGTCTCGCTCTGTTGCCCAGCCTGGAGTGCAATGGCATGATCTTGACTAACTGCAACCTCCACCTTCCGGGTTCAAGTGATTCTCCTGCCTCAGCCTCCAGAGTAACTGGGATTACAGGCGCCTGCCACCATACCTGGTTAATGTGTCTATTTTTAGCAGACACGGGATTTCACCATGTTGGCCAGGCTGGTCTCAAACTCCTGACCTCAAGTGATCCACCACTCTGGCCTCCCAAATTGCTGGGATTACAGGCGTGAGCCACCAGGCCTGGCCTCTTTCTGGATTTTAGTTTCCTCTTCTGTAAATGGGACAATGCTAACTTGCTGTTCACAGGGTCATTGTAAGGTGAAATTAAGATCATACGAGCACAGTGCCTGGTATATATAATCATTCAAAAAGCAGAAACTCTTTTTGTTGTCATTGTTTATCGGAGACTTTCTAATCCTGAGATAATCTGGTTCTCTAAAATGTGATAACGGCCCTCAGTTGAGAGATGGGGCAGGGATTTCTGGGGCATCTCTGAATCCTCTCACTGACCTGCCCTTGAGACCAAGTTCTTCTCCTGCTGGCAGCATCTAGGATTGCCATCTGGGCTCCAGGTACCAGTAGTAGGTCCTAGGTTTGGGTGGAGGAGAGGGGCTTATTCCAATACCTAGGACAGAATGGTTAGGACAGGGTCATCCCTCACCCTTTGCCACAAGAGCTGCCATTTGGCAGGGCGCAGGAGCCCAGGCAGCCTCCTAGGTGGTTGGGATTACAGGCCTGGCTAATTTTTGTATTTTTAGTAGAGACAGGGTTTCACCAGGTTTGCCAGACTGGTCTCAAACTCCTGAACTCAGGTGATCCACCTGCCTTGACTTCTCAAAGTGCTGAGATTATAGGCCTGAGCCACCGCGCCCGGCTGTTTTGGGGGTTTTCTTTTTGAGACAGAGTCTCGCTCTGTCACCCAGGCTGGAGTGCAGTGGCATGATCTCGGCTCACTGCAACTTCTGCCTCCCGGTTTCAAGTGATTCTCCTGCCTCAGCCTCCCAGGTAGTTGGGATTACAGGGGTGTGCCACCATGCCCAGCTAATTTTTGTATTTTTAGTAGAGACGGGGTTTCACCATGTTGGCTAGGGTGGTCTTGTCGTACTCCTGACCTCAAGTGATCCACCTGCTTCAGTCTCCCAAAGTGCTGGGATTACAGCCACTGTACCCGGCCTTACCTTACGTGTTAAAAGATTTCACAGATGTGATTAATGTAAGGATCTTGAGATGGTAAGATTATTCTGGATTATCTGGGTGAGCCCAGTGTAATCCCAAGAGTCCTTACAAGAAGAGGGAAGCAGGAGGATCAGTCAGTAGTAGATGTGACAACAGAAGCAAGAAGTTGAGGTGATTTGAAGAAGGGGCCATAAGCTAAGGAATGCAGGTGACCTCTACAAACTGTAAAAGGAAAGGAACTGATATGCTTCCTCAAAATCCCCAGAAAGAATGCAGTCTTGCCAGCACCTTGATTTCAGACTTTTGACCTAGAGAACAGCAAGAGAATATATCTGTGTTGTTTCAATCCATGAAGTTTGCAGTAATTCCTTGTAACAGTAACGGGAACATAATACATAGATTTAGCAAAGAAAACAAAATCCAGGATGCCCAGTAGTCATATTTGAATTTCCTATAAACAACAATTTTTAAAGTATAAATGTGTCCCAAATGTTGCATAAGACACGTGTGTGTGTGTGTGTGTGTGTGTGTGTGTGTGTGTGTTTGGAAAGGAACATACTTAAATGTTTATCTAAAATTCAAACTGTAGTGAATGTTCTATATTTTGTCTGTCAATCCTAGAAGTGGTGAAACTGAAAGCAGGAGTCAAAACTCGTGATTCCCAGGTCCCCTCCACACTGCTGCCCCCTGCCCCTCAATCTAGTATCTGGCAGAAACTGCCACTTTCTTGTAGCCCTCATGGGTCACTTACCATCTTCTTGGGACTCCTCCTGCTCCTGGGGTAGGAAAACGAAAAGACTGTTTAAGGTCGTCTCTTTGGGCTCAGAGTTCTCCTGGACCACCAGAATTTCTCTCTAGAAATGGCTTAGTGTCTACTCTGCCTCAGAGGGACCTAGGAGATTTGCCTCAAAGTTGCAGTTGCACAAAATACTTGCGAGGGGATCTTATTGGACTGGGGTGGGAGTTAGTAAAGCCTTTGTCTGGAGGGAACGTCATGAACCCCAAAGCAGGAAAAAAGTAATTATTGAATCAGGCTCCAGAGCAAGAATCAGGTTTCAGATAACGAAACAGAAGCCCAAGGAGGAATGGGGACTTGCTCCAGGTCACTCAGTTAATGACAGACAGATGTCCCCTGGTTTGGAATCTCCCCTTTTGGAGCAGCCAGTCCTGACAGCAGCCGTAGCTGGGGGGAAACCTAGAATGCTAATCCTGAGGTCTGGGTTTGAAGCCCTTTACTGCCTTGATTGCCAGTTTCCCTTTCCTGAAATAGGGGAAATGCATAAATATGAGGAGTTAATGAGATCATTGGATGTTAAACAACAGGTGCATGTTAGCATGTTCCTGGAAAATGGCAGCGTCTTTCCTTCCTTCTTTGAGCCTCAGTTGCCCCATCTATAAGCCGCGTTTGACAAGCGGCTGGTACCCAGCCACTCCAGGTCCACAGCACGGAGCTCTGACAGCCAGGGGGCGACTGAACGCCAGCGTTGCGGGGAAGTGTCACACATGCGCGCTCCTAGGCGGAGCCCCGCCTCCCACGCCCCGGAACGTCACTTCCGGCGCGAGGGGCCGGGCCGGCCGGGCAGGGAGTGCGGGTCGGTTCTGTGCGCGCTGCCGGACGAGGCTCCCGCCGCCGATTGACCCGCGCTCCGCCCGTAGCCGGGCCGGTGAGTGCCCGCGAGCCCGTCCGTGTGCCGTGGGGGCTGAGGGACCCCTGAGAGGGAGGGATAACCGGAAGTGGGGACCAGAGAAGCGAGAGACCCCAGGAAATGGGGACACCTGGGGAGGGGGTGACAGCCGGAAGTGGGGGCCTCGGAAGGTTGTCCACGGGATGTGGGGTCTGGGGGCTCTAGGAGAGATGGCTTTCTGACCTCCTCTTGTTGAGAGGAAGGCGTGAAAAGGAAAGTGATGCTCCAGAAAGCGATGGGCTTCAGGTGGGGGAGATCTCTGGCTTCACCCTTACCAATGGTGTCTGTATCTCAGTCATATGTCCGCCTGTCAGCTCATTCACCAGCCCGTGACTGAGCCCTGCTGAGCGCTCGGCATTGCTGAGTCCCTGGAGAGTCAACATGAAGCTCCAGGTGGAGGGTAGAGATTAGAAGACCAGGGTGGGGCTAGATGCATCCTTGCTCTGCCTCACCGGGTGTGCCCCCTTGGGCGCATCGCTTAACCTATAGCCTCCGCTGATGTGTACAGACCACTGCCATGTGCCAGGCACTGGGGGTGGCAGTGGACATGGAAGACAAGCCCTCTGCCGTCGTGGAACTTACATTCTAGGGGACAGTCCTTTTTGTCTTTTGTAAAATGGGAACAGTAATAGCGCTCTCACCAAATACTGTGAAGATTAAATGAGGAAATGGGTAAAGGGCTTAGCAATGCTTGATACATGGTAAAATGCTCAAGTATGCATTCTCTTCATTCCACTATGATGTAAGCTTCATTAGGCGAGGAATTATATTTGCATTTGTGTTCCCAGTGCCTGTGAGCACAGTGCCTGACATACATGGTAGGTGATCAGTAATTATTTGATAAATGAGTGGGTGGTAAAACTGACTCTGGAGAGTTCTATGTAAACGCCAATGGCATTGGACTGTAATTTCTAAAAAAGAAATAGGAACCCAGTTCTGTGGAAAACTGGAGGGAATCACCCTCAGGGAGTTTGGGAAGGATTCACAAAGGAGGTGACATGGCAGCTGGGCCTTGAAGGCCATGAGCTGTCGAGTTAGGAACAAATTAGAAGAGGAAATTCCAGGCAGAGTGTATCAGAAGTGCACGAGTTGTTCCAAGGATGATGGCTCATAGTTTGTTTTGACTGGCATTTAATGTGCATCAAGATGGGATGAGATGGAAAATGAGGCTGGAGAGGGGCTTTGAGGTGAGGCTTGTACCTTGTGAACACTGTGGTTTGTCGCTCAGGTAGACACTAGATGGGACTGCAGGCATCTCTTGGTGGCTTCCATAAAAACAAAGCCATAGGTGTTCCATTCCTCACTTAGCATATCTCTGCCAACCAGACTAAAGTCATTCAACAAATATTTATGGAGTGCAGACTATGTGTCTAACACCACGTTAGGTGCTGGGTTTAAGGTGATGAACAAGACAAACTTGGATGTTGCTCACAAATTGCCAACAGACAATTGCAACAGGGTGGGAGAAGTGCGGGCCACCTAATCTGGCCTGAGGGTCAGCGAAGGCTACCTACTCCAGGCCACCAGCATCTCTCAGCTGGATTATTACAATAGCCTCTAAATGGTCTCTGCTTCGGTCCTCACCCCCTTAGAGTCCATTCCCAAGACAGCAGAGTGGTCCTTTAAAAAAAAAATATATATATATATATATATATATTTTTTTTTTTTTTTTTTACTTATTTGAGATGGAGTCGCGCTCTGTCGCCCAAGCTGGAGTGCAGTGATGTGATCTCAGCTCACTGCAACCTCTGCTTCCTGGTTTCAATCGATTATCATGCTTCAACCTCCCAAGTAGCTGGCACTACAGGCCCGCACCACCATGCCTGGCTAATTTTTGTATTTTTAGTAGAGACAGGGTTTCACCATGTTGGCCAGGCTCGTCTGGAACTCCTAACCTCAGGTGATCCATCCACCTCAGCCTATCAAAGTGTTGGAATTATAGGCGTGAGCCACCACACACAGCCCGAGAAAAAAACTTAAAAATTAGCCAGTTGTGGTGGTGGTGTGCACCTATAGTCCCAGCTACCTGGGAGGCTGAGGCAGGAGGATTGCTTGAACTTAGGAGTTCGAGGCTGCAGAGAGCTATGATTGCGCCACTGCACTTTAGCCTGGGTGACACAGCAAGACCCTGTCTCTTAAAAAACAAAAAAGTACATGAGTTCGGGTCCTCTAAGAAGCAGACACTAGGATGAGATTAGACATGCTAGAAATTTAGAGGCAACCCTTGTGAAGGACAACACCTGGGAAGGGAGCTGGTGAAGTGAGGAAGAGCCACGGGCAGTGATGCAGATCAGCTCCTGTGAATGTTTGGGCAGCAAGTCTCCGACTGCAGGGCAGTCCCAACAAAGGTTTGGCCAGGCCCTCAAGCAAACACTGAGTCCCATGTCTCACTAAATCATTGGCTAGGAGCAGTGAGGCCACAGAAGGGCTGTGGAAAGTTGTGGCTTCCCCTGGATAGTGGATCTAGAGGGACAGCTACTGGAGGCCCTTTATCAATTGCGTTTTCCCAGCAGGAGATCTGACCGGCACATATGTTACATGGGTATGTGGTAAAAAATTCAAACAGTACAGTAAAAATCCTCTTTCTCATCTTAAATTTTCACTTGTCCAGTTCTGTTCCCTAGAGATAACCATTGGTAAGTTTCTTATTATCTCCCTCCTTATTATCTCCTTTTGTGTGCATTCACAAGTGTGTATATATAGTTTTAAAACGTGATTTTCTGTACACTATTCTGCAACTTGCTTTTTTAACATATCAATTCATAAACATCTGCCTAATTCCTTTTCATGATTGACTAGTACCCCATTCGTATGGTAATATTACTTAACCAGTCTCCCCTGATGGGCAGTTAAGGTGTTTCCAATCTTTTGTCATTATAATCAATACTTGTGAAGGCCATGTGCATACTGTGCACATATATACAAGTATATGTCCTAGAAATGGAATTGCTGACCCAAAGGGCATGTGGGTTTACATTCTGAAGATATTGACAACTGCCCTCCAAAGAGGCTGTCAATTTATACTCCCAGCAGCAGCAAACATATCAGAGTACGTTACTTTATCTTATTTTTGCCAATCTGAATCTCAGACTTTTTTGTTTGTTTGTTTTTTAAGACAGAGTCTTGCTCTGGCTGAGTGCAGTGGCGCCATCTCAGCTCACTGCAACCTCTACCTCCTGGGTTCAAGCAATTCTCCTGCCTCAGCCTCCCAAGTAGCTGAGATTACAGGTGCCCACCACACCCGTCTAATTTTTGTGTTTTTAGTAGAGACGGGATTTCACCATGTTGGCCAGGCTGGTTGCAAAGTCTTACCCCAGGCGATCCACCCACCCCGACCTCCTAAAGTGCTGGGATTACAGGTGTGAGCCACCACGCCTGGCCTCAGAGTTGTTTTAATTCACATTTATTTAATGATGAATAAGGTTGAGCACCTATTAATACATTTATAAGGAAGGCCCTGGTATTTATGAGGGAGTATATAGTCTGCTATAGCTGCTGGCTGCCTCCCTGGGGACTAACAGCAGCCAGACTGGGGTCAGACTTGCGTGTGTGGTTTAGATCCCCATCATTGCCCCCAGTTGAGAAACACTGCCCTGAGGTTACTTGGCTTTTACAGAAGTGTTCCTGTCCCCTACACTGGGCTGCCCTGGGATTTGAAATAAGCACTTGTTAACTTTGCTTAGGGCTTCTGTGTTGGCAGGGACCCTGTTAGCTAATGTCAGAAGAAAGTGACTCTCTGAGAACCAGCCCCTCTGTGGCCTCACTCTCTGAAAATGAGCTGCCACCACCACCTGAGCCTCCGGGCTACGTGTGCTCACTGACAGAAGAACTGGTCACGAAAGCCCGGGAAGAGCTGCAGGAAAAGCCGGAATGGAGACTTCGAGATGTGCAGGCCCTTCGTGACATGGTGCGGAAGGAGTACCCGAACCTGAGCACGTCCCTTGACGACGCCTTCCTGCTGCGCTTCCTCCGAGCCCGCAAGTTTGATTACGACCGGGCCCTGCAGCTCCTCATCAACTACCACAGCTGTAGGAGAAGCTGGCCCGAAGTCTTCAATAACTTGAAGCCATCAGCCTTAAAAGATGTCCTTGCTTCTGGGTTCCTCACCGTGCTGCCCCACACTGACCCCAGGGGCTGCCATGTCGTCTGCATCCGCCCAGGTATCTCCCTAGACTGTTGTGGGGCGGGTGTGTCCAGTCTTTGCAATGTGTCCATTCAGCACCCTGTCCTCCTTTCCAAGTCCCTTTTTTACCCCTCCTTTGTCACAGTCAAGGCTTTTTTGATTGCAGATAACAAAAACCTACTCAAACCAACTTCAGAAAAAAGGGAGGATTTAGTCGAAGGAGACAGGAGTACCTCCCAGAACCAGAGAACTGAAGGCGTGGCAGTTCTTACTAGGGCCTAGAACCAAGAACCAGACTGCCACCAGGAGCCAAGACAGCCATTCTCCCTGTCTCTGCCTGACAGTCTGTGTATCCTTCAGCCACATATTTCTGCCTTTTGCGTATCTTCTTCACACTTTTTTCTGTGTATGGCTGTCCCACTCCTGTGCACACAGTTAAATCTGGCACCCGCTCAGCTCTCAGGTTTGCCTGACCACCCAATTAAGTTCCTCAATGCAGATTCCAGATTTCTAGCGGGGAGCATCAGGTGGGGCCTAAGAACCTGCCCCTGGCCATAGGATACAAGCATGGCTGCCAGGGCCCGCCCTGAGCCCTCTTTGTGAATAGGTTGAGGTACAGGTATCAGTGCAAGGGTGTGGACTGGGCAGACACCTGGAAAGTGCCTCCTCTGTGCCTCCTCCAACCTTTCCTTCCTTTCCTCTATTTTGTGAAGCCACTGACACGATTCACTTTGGATTTGTTTTTTGATCTTCGCATTTCTTGGCAGTAATTAGGATACCTTACATTTCTTTGTCATGGCAGTTTACGAATGGGGGCTCTCTGCCACTAAAAGAGCATTTAGAAATACTCCCCAGCCAGGCGCAGCGGCTCATACCTGTAATCCCAGCACTTTGCAGGGGTGAGGGAGGAGAACTACTTGCGGCCAGGAGTTTGAGACCAGCCTGGGCAACATAGTGAGACTTTGTCTCTACAGAAAATTAAAAAAAAAAAAAAGAAAAGAAAAGAAAGAAAGAAATGCTCCCCAAAGAGCATTTCAACACAATGACCAGGGGCAGCCAGAACTCAAGATTTCTGATTCTTAGGCCTGTTCTCTTCCATGACACCAAAAGCATTATAAACTTTGGAATGTTCTACTCCATTCCTAGCCTCAACATTTTCCATCAGACCAAGCTGAGAGAAGAATGCAAAGTAAGGATGCAATGTTCTCCCTAAGCAAGCCAGGGAATGAGAACACACTAATAGCCCTCTTCTGCTCATTCATATAAACGCCCTCTTGAAGGGAAGTTTGATGGGGAGTGGACACCTCCATGCACTTTCCTCTGCCTTTACTCATTCCCCAAACTCTCCATTCTCTTCAGACTTTACTATGATGTACCAAGACCACTGTTAATGGCTTACCTGCTATTTTAGGTACTTGCCAAAATTAGTGTTTATTTTAAAAAAAGCAATGCAGTACAGATTTTAGGGCACCAAGAGACCTAGAAACCGGTCAGCAGGTTTTTCTGCTGCTCCTCTGTACTCAACTCATAAGAATATTACAACACAGTCAGATATTACAACACTGATTGCACCTTTGCTTGCACGGTTTCAACCCTTTGCTCGTGAGATGAATTTTTTCCCCATATGTCTGGAGCAGATCTGGACCCCTTTCCACCGACCCAGTGTTTTAGGAAGAGGCATACAGAGAAACGTTTCTTCTCAATTGGGTATCAGCTTTGCCTTTATTAAAGCTCTTTTGAGACATGTGATTGAAAGGGATGATATCCAGTTACATAGAGGCAGGGTTAATTGGCAGCAACGTTAAACAGCAAGCTGGCACAATTCGGGGACAAAGATCTTTCATGAGAATTTTGCATATATCAGGCCAGGTGCGGTGGCTCATGCCTGTAATCCCAGCACTTTGGGAGACTGAGGCAGGTGGATCATGAAGTCAGGAGTGCGAGACCAGCCTGGCCAACATGGTAAACCACCCCCCGCCTCCGCCACCCTGCCCGTCTCTACTAAAAATACAAAAAGCTGGGCGTGGTGGTACATGCCTGTAATCCTAACTGTCCCGGAGGCTGAGGCAGGAGAATCGCTTGAACCTGGGAGGCAGAGGTTGCAATGAGCCGAGATCATGCCACTGCACTCCAGCGTGGGTGACAGAGCAGGACTCCGTCAAAAAAATAAAAATGAAAAAGAATTTTGCACATATCACATATCCCGTTGTTGGCAAACGTGAGGTTTTATCTTTTAAGAAAGAGGCACGTAGATTTTGCTGGGATTTTCTTGAGAACAGTGGCTAACAGTAAAAAGTGGGCATTTTCATTTTTTTTTTTTTTCCCAAAGAGAGGAAAGAAATCATTAAATACACGGGGCATATTAGAAAAGTATCCACCGGCCGGGCGCGGTGGCTCAAGCCTGTAATCCCAGCACTTTGGGAGGTCAAGACGGGCGGATCACGAGGTCAGGAGATCGAGACCAGCCTGGCTAACATGGTGAAACCCCGTCTCTACTAAAAAAAAATACAAAAAAACTAGCCGGGCGAGGTGGCAGGCGCCTGTAGTCCCAGCTACTCGGGAGGCTGAGGCAGGAGAATGGCGTAAACCCGGGAGGCGGAGCTTGCAGTGAGCCGAGATCCGGCCACTGCACTCCAGCCTGGGCCACAGAGCCAGACTCAGACTCCCTCTCAAAAAAAAAAAAAAAAAAAAAAGAAAAGTATCCACCTTGGAAAGAGGAGGGGAACACAGCACTATGCTCCATCCTCACAGTACCCCTGTCAAGGTTGTGTATGAGTCAAGACTCAGCTTTTTTTTGAGACAGAGTCTCGCTCTGTTGCCCAAGTTGGAGTGCGGTGGCGCGATCTCGACTCACTGCAACCTCTGCCTCCTGGGTTTAAGTGATTCTTCTGCCTCAGCCACCCAAGTAGCTGAGACTACAGATGTGCACCACCATGCCTGGCTAATTTTTGTATTTTCAGTAGAGACAGGGTTTCACCATGTTGGCCAGCCTGGTCTTTTTTTTTTTTTTTTTTTTTTGAGATGGAGTCTGGCTCTGTCGCCCAGGCTGGGATGCAGTGGCCGGATCTCAGCTCACTTCAAGCTCCGCCTCCCGGGTTTACGCCATTGTCCTGCCTCAGCCTCCCGAGTAGCTGGGACTACAGGCGCCCGCCACTTCGCCTGGCTAGTTTTTTTGTATTTTTTAGTAGAGATGGGGTTTCACTGTGTTAGCCAGGATGGTCTCGATCTCCTGACCTCATGATCTGCCCGTCTCGGCCTCCCAAAGTGCTGGGATTACAGGCTTGAGCCACTGTGCCTGGCCTGTATTTTCAGTAGAGACAGGGTTTCACCATGTTGGCCAGGCTGGTCTTGAACTCCTGACCTCAAATGATCCACCCGCCCTGGCCTCCCAAAGTGTTGGGATTACAGGCATGAGCCACCACATCTGGCCAAGACTCAGTCTTTGTGTGGCAAGTGACAGAAAGCCAACTCACATTGGCTGAAACAAACAAAAAAAACTCAGTTGTTCAGATAACTGAAGTCCAGCCGTATTTCCATTCAGGGGCCCAAACTCTGGCACTGGAAAGCTGTCCCCACCACTGCTGTCCTCAACAGGGGCTTCATTCCCAGGCCAGCTCTCTTGCCTCATGGGGCCTGTGAATCTCAGACTCACCGCCTCAAAACTACAAGAGGGAAGAGAGATCTCTTTCCAAAGGGCCAGGGTCCTAGAATTGAGTCTCCTTGACTCTGCTTGACCTGGCTTGGATCACACACTGTGGCCAGAAGGATGTGCTGTCAGATTGGCCAATCACTGGCCAATCAGTCCCCAATCACTTGCTCACTTCTGGAGTCAGGAGTCAAGTCAGTTCTATCCAAACTGCATGGCTAGAGTGGAAGGAGGTGGTTCCATAAGGAAAATCAGGTTGGTGCTATGAAGACAAGGGGAGATACATGATGGCAGAAAGCACAGATGTCCATGAAGGTAGGCATTATCACCCTATTCTACTTATGAGGACATTAGGGCTTAGAGTGAGGTATTATAGTAACATGCCCAAAGTCACACAGTTAGTAACATTCAAACCTCAGGTGTGTCTGACTTCAGAGTGCATCTTTTTTTTGAGACAGGGTCTCACCCTGTCACCTAGGCTGGAGTACAGTGGCATGATCACTGCAGCCTCAATCTCCTGAGCTCAAGTGATCCTCCCACCTCAGGCTCCCAAGTAGTGGGTCTACAGCCACACCCCACCACACCTGGCTAATGTTTGTGTATTTTGTAGAGATTGGGTTTCACCATGTTGCCTGGGCTGGTCTTGAATTCCTGGGCTTAAGCAATCCTCCCACCTCGGCCTTCCAAAGTACTGGGATTACAGGCATGAGCCACCGTGCCCAGCCAGAGCTCATGCTTTTAACCTCAACACTCAATTGTATTTGCATCGCAAAATGTGCTGCTGTTTGGAGTTAAGAAACCAGCTGCTGCTTATTATTCCATTTACTAACCTAAATAGAGTCATGGCTACTAGAGTATCTTTCTTTTCCATTTTGAAACAACAGTGATAGGAGATAAATCTTTGATCCCTTATTTATATTAACTTCTGTAACATACTGTCAATCTCTTATGACCTTAGACAGATGGATACCGAGCAACTATCCAATTACCGAAAACATCCGAGCCATATACTTGACCTTAGAAAAACTCATTCAGTCTGAAGAAACCCAGGTGAATGGAATTGTAATTCTTGCAGACTACAAAGGAGTGAGTTTATCAAAAGCATCTCACTTTGGCCCTTTTATAGCCAAAAAGGTGATTGGCATCCTCCAGGTAAGACCCCTATCTATCCTGCCTGTTTCGTTGTGGCTTTGGCTTTCCCCAGGGCCTGTCCATTTACTGTGGGTCTCACATGATACACAAACTGCACATCCCACACCTGCAATCTGAAAAACACAAAAGCATTATGTGAAGAAATTTAAAAGTCCTATTTACCACTTGTTCTCATCAGTCTCTCAAGTACTCTCTGGAATAGGTACTTTAGGAAGGCAAGAATCCAAAAAACTAGGGAACTGCTTTTTGCCTTTTTTTGGTGTGGAAGGCAGAGGAAAAATTCTAACAAAACTGGCTGGGCGCAGTGGCTTACACCTGTAATCCCAACACTTTGGGAGGCTGAGGCAGGTGGATCACTTGAGGTCAGGAGTTTGAGACCAGCCTGGCCAACATGGTAAAACCCCGTCTCTACCAAAACTACAAAAATTACCTGGGCATGGTGGCAGGCAACTGTGATCCCAGCTACTTGGGAGGCTGAGGCAGGAGAATCACTTGAACCCAGGAGGCAGAGGTTGCAGTGAGCTGAGATTGCGCCATTGCATCCAGCATGGGCGAGAACAGCAAAACTCTGTCCCCAAAAAAATTTTTAAAAAACTCTAAGAAATTATGCTTCTGCGTAAGGTGCTGGAGCCCCTCCTGCCCTCTGTGGACCTGGGAGATATGGCACTCTGTTGGGCTGTATTTTGGTCAGATGCTTCACACCTCATGTTGTTTCAGAACATTCACTGGGGACTGTGGTGCTCCCTCCATATCTACACCGTGTTTCATGGCTTGTACAGTGCTTTACAGTCATCAGGGCCCATTCAGTCCCTCAACGAATCCTCTGAGATAGGCAAGGCAAGAACTATTTTTCCTTTTTGATAGATGGGGAAATGGAGACCTAGAGAAAATATAGCCTGTCACAGCTGTGACAGGTTTTGATTATTTGTTCAACACCCGCCACATGGGGTGTTGTCCTTTGTGAACTATGGGGCACCAGTGATATAGTAGCTCTTTTTACTGGATTCCACAAATGTTTCAGTCCCTGTGGTGCACCAGGTTTATTATTTAAATAAATCAGTTTACATTTGGACATTATCAAACATTTGGATTCTGGCTTTGAGCCAACCCTGGCTTTCCTTCGCTGGCACTGCTTTTGATGCCTCCTGCTGAATACCATGTAGATTCAAGTGCCAGGATCAAGAGTGTGGATCAGTGTTAGTACTGTAAGATCATCTGGAGAGGAGAAAAAATTAAGTAAGTTTGGGAAATGCTATATAGCATGTCCCTTTCAGTTTAAGAATGTCCAAATCTTAAACTGTAAGAATTTACATGTTAAAGGCTCTGAACAGGACTGCAGTTAAGGAAACCACTTGATTATGCTTAGTGGACTGCATTTCTCAAACTCATTTGCCTGCTGTGGGGCCCTGTTTTGTATAACCTCTAATATCCTGAGAAATATACTTTGGGCAACACTGATCTAGAAGGTCTGATGTTTGCCGGATCCGTCCCTGTAGACTCAGACTGTTTTCTGCTGTAAGAGCATCATCTCTTCGTATGTTTGCTTCTCTTTTTTTTTTTTGAGATGGAGTCTTGCTCTGTCATCCAGGCTGGAGTACGGTGGCACGATCTTGGCTCACTGCAACCTCTGCCTCCAGGGTTCAAGCAGTTCTCCAGTCTCAGCCTCCCAAGTAGCTGGGATTACAGGCGTGTGCCATCACACCCAGCTAATTTTTGTATTTTTAGTGGAGATGGGAGTTCACCATGTTGGCCAGGCTGGTCTCGAACTCCTGACCTCAAGTGATCCGCCCGCTTCGGCCTCCCAGAGTGCTGGGATTACAGGTGTGAGCCACCACGCCCAGCCTCCATTTGCCTCTCTTCTAACCCAGTTTTGGGTCCTAGGAAAGACTTTCCCTGAGGCCCATCTTCTAGTTAGGCCCCACGTGGACTGTCATTGAGGAGGCCATAAGGATCAGATCAGACTGATATTGGGGCTGAAAATGAAGATTTAACTCTGGGGAGGAAGGAGTGGAAAGATTCTCCAGATGTTCTAAACCCCTTTGCCTTTCCCATACAGGATGGTTTCCCCATTCGGATAAAAGCAGTCCATGTTGTGAATGAACCTCGAATATTTAAAGGCATTTTTGCCATCATAAAACCATTTCTAAAGGAGAAAATAGCAAACAGAGTAAGTGATGATCCTATTGACTTCAGATTTTTCTTTCCCTCCATTGATTTATTTGTGACATCTGGTACTTGTTTATTATTTTTGCCCTGTAACGACTCATTTGGAAAGTACAGAGTTACAGATAAAATAAATGAACAGTCCCTTTTGTGAGGGGAAGATGGAACAGTAAATTAATCAGAATTTAATATTTGCCAGTAGAGAGAGCAGAACCAGGATTTTTATCATAAGAGCCTCCCTGGGCAGTATAGCAAGACCCCATCTCTAAAAAAATTTTTAAAATTAGGTGTGTGTGCCCGGGCGGTGGCTCACGCCTATAGTCCCAGCACTTTGGGAGGCCAAGGTGGATGGATCACTTGAGGTCAGGAGTTCGAGACCAGCCTGGCCAACATGGTGAAACCCCGTCTCTACTAAATACAAAAAATTAGCCAGGCATGGTGGCACATGCCTGTAATTGCAGCTACTTGGGAGGCTGAGGTAGGAGAATCACTTGAATCCAGGAGGCGGAGGTTGCAGTGAGCTGAGATCATGCCACTGCACTCCAGCCTGGGCAACAGTGGGACTCTGTCTCAAAAAAAAAAAAAAAGAAATTAGGTGGGTGTGGTGGCACATGTCTGTAGTCTCCACTACTCAGGAGGCTGAGGTGGGAGGATTGCTTGAGCTCAGGAGTTCAAGGCTGCCATGGGCTTGAACAATGGGCTATGGTCTTGCCATTGTATTCCAGCCTGGGTAACAGAGTGGAGCACTGCCTCTAAAATAATTTTTTTTTAAGTTATGGTCATTAGAACTATGGGGTTTAAAAATGCTACTTAAGCCTTTCCATTTGCCTAATATGTTGTCCTGCTGTATAGTTTGTGGAGCAATTCAAGGTTTATAAGCTGTGTGAGTTTTTAGCTTACCTCTTACTGAAGAAGGGCTAAATGGCACTTTGAGTCTTCCTTTCTGACCCAGAGGAGCCACTTCCCTCTTTAGTCTTTCCCAGTCCCACTGATTGAAATGGGATGGGTGGTATTTTTCTCCTTCCCGAGGCCTAGGAAGATGACTGCAAAGACTGGGCCCTGAATTTTTCTTGCTTTTTCTTTTTTCTTTTTTTGAGACGGAGTCTTGCTCTGTCACCCAGGCTGGAGTGCAGTGGTGCGATCTCAGCTCACTGCAACCCCTGCCTCTGGGGTTCAAGCAGTTCTCCTGCCTCAGCCTCCTGCTGGGATTACAGGCATGCACCACCACGCACAGCTGTTTTTTGTATTTTTAGCAGAGACAGGCTTTTATATGTTGGCAAAGCTGGTCTCAAACTCCTGACCTCAGTTGATCCACCCGCCTTGGCCTCCCAAAGTGCTGGGATTACTGGCATAAGCCATCGCACTGGGCCCTTGCTTTTCCAAAGTAACATATATAGATAGAAAACCCCAAGGAGGTAAAGGAGGGAACTTGAAATCCAGCTCCAGATTCCTAGGCTGTTTCCCTGAAGATTTTGATTCATCAGCTCAGGAATCTGTGCTTTAAAATCCCCTTAGGAAATTGTGATGCACAGCTAGATTTACAAACCACTAACTTAGTGGCTTCCCTGCCTGGGTGTGAACCCATGTGGGTCCCTAAAGATTCTGTTTGGAACTTTTACCAAAGCAGCCTTTGGACAGATCTTTTACATCTGTGAAATGCCCTGATTTGGGGCCCATGATGTTCTTCCTTTGTTCCTTCATAGGTTCATTCATTCAGAAATACCTATTGATCAACTCTGTGTACAAGCATGTTCTAGATGAACAAAACAGACCAAAACCCCTGCCCCTAGGAAGATTATGTTCTAAAGGGAGCCACAGTGAATGCTATCTAGTATTAGAATGTGGTAAGTGCTACAGAGAAAAAGCAGAGAAAAGGATAGCATGTGTGAGGTGGGAAGGGTTGCGGTATTCAACTGAGTGGTTAGAGGTGGCAGCCTTAAGAAGCTGACATTTGAGCAAAGACTTGAGAGAGTGAGCCATCTAGGTATCTGGGAGGCCAGCAAGGACACCACCCTCACGTGGGAGAGCAGCTAGGCTGGCGTAGCTGGGTCAAGACTGGAGGGGCAGGTGGTGAGAGCACTCAGAGAAGTAATGAGGCCAGACTGTGATGGGCCTCAGAGTCTGAGGTGGGAGTGCTGGAAGGCTGTACATAGAGGCACGACTGTGATCTGAATTTCACTGAAAAGAACTTAGATTGCAGAGGGACAAGAGTGGGAGCAGGGAGACCAGATAGGAGGCCACTAGAGGAATCCAGGGAGAAGCAATGTGGCTGATGCCATTAGTGTGGTGGTGAGGCGGCTGGATCCTGGATACATTCTGAAGCTCCAGCCAGCAGGGCATATGGTATAAGGAAAAGATAATTAAGGATACTCCAGGCTTTCTGGGCTGAAAAAGTAAGCGTAGAGTTGCCATTAACCTTTCCTTTCTTCATTCAACAGATATTTGAGCACCTACCACGGAGGAAATTTCTGCATTCCTGATTAACCTAAGGACATGTGTGTTTTCATTTCATTCCCTTTTAGTTCTTCCTCCATGGGTCTGACTTGAACTCTCTCCACGCAAACCTTCCAAGAAGCATTCTCCCCAAGGAGTATGGGGGCACAGCTGGGGAGCTGGACACTGCCACCTGGAACGCAGTACTGCTAGCTTCAGAAGACGATTTTGTGCAAGAGTTCTGCCAACCTGTCCCTGCCTGTGACAGCATCCTGGGCCAGACGCTGCTGCCTGAGGGCCTGGCCTCAGATGCACAGTGTGACGACTCCTTGCGAGCTGCGAAGTCACAGCTGTACTCCTGCTACTAGCCCGTCCCCCAGGGTCACCATCTTTAATTCTTTTCCTTCTTTTCTTTGGAGAGGCACAAGGAGAATTTAAGGGGCCAAGGATTCAGTCTTGCTCCTTGTAATTAAACTGCAGGATGGAGGAACAGCCCATGAGATATGAGGGTGAGCCCATTTTGGGGTAAGCCTTTGGTTACTTGAATTACTCCATGGAAGACATGGAAAATGTCCCCACTGATTCTTAAACATTTGGAATCCCAGTCTGCAACTATTAATCTGGAGGCTGTATCTGTTTTGTTCTGCTTTTTGGTTGGGGGGTGGTGATCTGGTTCTTACACATCTTGGAAGCAAGAAAAATCAGGACCAGAGTCACTTTGATCCCACTTTTCCAGGAGAAAAACAACCTGTTTGGCCAGTGAGAACTACTTGTATGAAATAATTTGGCCAAACCTGCAGTGTGACCAAACGTGAGACTGGGAGTTTGTGTTTTTCACAGGAACCCTAAGTACAGACCTCTGCTGCTCATCAGGAAACTTACTGGAGATCAAGGCCCCAGCTGCTGTCACTGGATTTGGAAAGCACCTTAACTGAATCATGCAAGCATCAGGACATAAGCAGCACTTTGTGGTCAAATGTGGAAGCCGGAGACTTCAAAGCACCTCTGGGACCCATTGGTTGAAGCCTGCAATAGAAACTTAAGTTTTCCCAAATCCATAAAGCCTTAGCCCTGGTTCTCAATAGAATCATACAGGGACCTAGCAGGAAATGATTTTATTCAACCTAAAATGCTGGATTCCAGGCCCGTGTAGCTACAAGAATTCTGGCCTGGATCCCAGGTGTGCAACTATGGACAAGACATGGGCCTCTGTAGGCCTCAACCTTCTCTATAAAATAAGGCTGGATGAAATGTCAGCTAGGGCCGTTTTGGCTGCTGAGGCTATGGGATTTGGTTTAGTTACTGAATGTTAGATTTTCTGCTTAGAAAGATACCTAGATACAAGTGGTTGGATCCTGTTTTTGTTTGTGGTACACATGTCTTTCCAAGAGAGATGTGTCAGTAATTAGCTCTGCCTTTAAAGAAACTGTTATATGTATTCCTGGCACTCACTGACACCAATTTTCTTTCTATAGTGATGGTTAAATTTGGAAAATATGGCTTTTATGAGGCCAGAAAAGGGGACTAGGATCTTGTATGATGAATTCCTTCCATCCCTGAGACTGTTACTATATTGTAAACCTAGCTACAATGGTTAATTACTTGAGATTCTTAAATTCTGGTCTCTGGGCCGGGTGTGGTGGCTCACGCCTGTAATCCCAGTACTTTGGGAGGCCAAAGTGGGCGGATCACAAGGTCAGGAGTTCGAGACCAGCCTGGCCAAGATGGTGAAGCCCTATCTGTACTAAAACCACAAAAATTAGCTGGGCATGGTGACTGGTGCCTGTAGTCCCAGCTACTGGGGAGGCTGAGGCAGAAGAATCACCTGCACCACTGCACGCCAGCCTAGGTGACAGAGCAAGACTCCGCCTCAAAAAAAGAAAAATTTTTTTTTGGTCTCTGGAAATGAACACAAGTGCAGATTATTGCTGGGTCACTTCTGGCCCCCCTCCCCCCGCCCTCCCAGCCCCACTTGAGTTTCTCTCTTTGGTGTGGGTGAACCAGTCAGCCTGAATGTTCTGCATTTCAGCACTTTAGAACCTCCCTGCCAAGATTTTAGTCTTAGCCCAAACATCAAATTAGATGGTTCACATGATGGCTTTTGACCTATTTCCTTTCTAATATATTCCACATGATCATGGTGTTAAATAGTGAAAAGTACCGTGTGTTGTGTGTGCACCTTCTCCATGCATCTGTTAGACTAACCAGTCAAGGTGGACAGCTCAGTTAGGGAGAAAACAATACTCTGAAATTTGAAGGCCAGTCTGTTGTTACTTAGCTGTTCATCTCTATCGCCTTTTTAAATGTCTGGAGAAGTTGTTGTTGGAAATTACTTTACTTCATGAATACCAATTCTAGAGGAAGTTATTTTCACCATGGATAGTAACCCTGGATCCTCTAGGGTCCTGGCTGAGCTGGAAGTGCCAAAAAGCACTCCTGGCTGCTTCTAGTTCCATCTGACGATGATGTGACCAGCATTGCTGAAAAGGCCCAAGTAGGGCAAGTGGGATGGCTAAAGGAGGGGGTTCAGAACCTGGTGGCCTGGATGGGATAATTGGGTGGAGGCTTTCTTAGGTCCCAAGAAGGAAGACAGATAAACAAAACAAAAACTAGGTAAAGAGGAATGAATCACTCAGCCCTGATCTTTCAATTTTACACTGCATTCCTGGCCAGTGGCATTTGTTTTAATGTAGGCATGGCCAAAGCTCACCTAGAGAATTATCTCGAAGACCAGAAGTGATTTGGAGAGGCCTATTTCTTAGGTTTTTCCAGTTGGACAAGGAAGGAGTGGTTTCACTCAGCTTCTAGGAGTTGGAGCCTACGTTTTATCTGCCTCCGAGAACTGCTTGCTTTGTTCTGGCTCCAAAGAGATATCAAATAGTTTTGACACCTCAGGAAGCTTGAACCACGCTATAAAACCACTTCCCTGAGTGAAAATCAAGGTGTTCTCCTTGTGGCTTCAGCAGGGTGTTTGCGTCACATTGTCTCAGCAGGGTGGGGAATAACCAGCTAGGGAGCACACTGGTGAGGCAAACACATGAACCTCAAGAACTGGGAGTATGTTCCTTCACGGAGACGTTCTGGCCCATTGCACAAACACTTGGAAATTAACTTTTCCCTAAATTCAAGGTAATGTGGTGTCGGAGGGAAATGGGACGGTAAATTAGGAGATGCAGGCTCCATCTTTACCTTACTACGTGCCCTTGGGTGAGCTGCTTAACATCCCTGAGTGATTCTGTGATAGAGATCTACACTCCAAACTTTATTCCTTATATTTAGTTGGCTTCACTGCCACAGAGACACTGTACTCTCTTTGTAGAAGCTTTTTTCCCCCCCTCAATTGGCTTGTTATTTAGGAAATTTAGATCTGAATGAATTGGTACCTAAAAGCTTCCAAATGTATCTATACATTTCAGAATATGGGAATTTTCTTCCTCTTCTTCCCCCATATCCCAACTTGGAATTCTGGAAAATTGTGCCTCTTCCCCTGTTCTGCCTTCATGGGGGAGAGACTGGATGAAATCTACAGAAACAGCCAAAAGTGCCACCCTGGCTTCATGTCTTGAGTTTCCAACTTGCTCTTGGCAAAGGTTGCTTTATTTTTTAAATTTTTTTCCTTGCATTTTCTTTTTTATTCTATTGCTGCTGCAAAAATTAAGGCAAAAGTAGCTTTAGATCTTTCATATTTCATCCTGGTTTCACAAGGAGTCACTTACTTAGGAGGTCTATAAGTCAGGTTACAAGGCCGGGCGGGGTGGCTCACACCTGTAATCCCAACACTTTGGGAGGCCGAGGCGGGTGGATCACCTGAAGTCAGGAGTTTGAGACCAGCCTGGCCAACATGGTAAAACCCCGTCTCTACTAAAAATACAAAAAATCAGCTGGGCATGGTGGCGGGCGCCTGTAATCCCAGCTACTTGGGAGGCAGAGGCAAGAGAATCACTTAAACCCAGGTGGCGGAGGTTGCAGTGATCCAAGATCGCGCCACTGCACTCCAGCCTGGGTGACAAGTGAAACTCCATCTCAAAAAAAAAGTAAAAATTTTTAAATCAGGTTACAAAACACAATTTTTCCAGAAATATGACAGTAAGAGGCATTTCTCTAAATACTATTTGACTCTCAGATCATGGGATTTTTTTTCATTTGGGTAGCAAAAGCTAGAGTACTGCTGTGGTGATTATAATACCTTTTAAAAGTTTTACCATTTTAAAGTTGCCAACGTTTAAGGTTTTCCTTTGAAGCCTCCTTTAATTTAGGGAGTAAAATGTTAGCTAAACCAATTATATACTATATACTGTATCTCCTGTGGCCATGAGAGGTGTGGAGATACCGAACAGAAACATGTCTACTGTTCAGGAAAGATGTCGGTTCTGGTAACACCTCTCCGTATTGGGATCTGTTAATTTTGTAAATCTAAATTCTTCTGCTCTTCGCCAGGTGTGGTAGCTCATGCCCTGTAATCCCAGAACTTTGGGAGGCTGAAGGGGGGGTGTATCATTTGAGGTCAGGAGTTTGAGACCAGCCTGGCCAACAGAGTGAAACCCCATCTCTACTATAAAGTACAAAAATTAGCTGGGTGTGGTGGTGCATTCCTGTAATCCCAGCTACTCGGGAGGCTGAGGCAGGAGAGTCGTTTGAACCTGGGAGGCAGCAGTTGCAGTAAGCCAAGATGGTGCCACCGCACTCCAGCCTGGGCGACAAAGCAATACTCTGTCTCAAATAAATAAATACATTCTTCTGTTCTTCTGACTTAAGAGAAATGGTTTGCTTAAAATGCTAGAACAAACATCAGAGCCAATAGGAGCTTGGTTCATGGGAAGGATCAATGTGATTTGTGGATGGAGATGATAGTGGTGAAACTCCTGCTTTATGAAGCTGTTTTTCTTTTCATCTCACTGGGCAGCAGGTTTAGTGAGGCAGTGAGATGCTGCTGCTGTGGATTCTTGTGGCTATGCCTCAGCTTCTTGGCCTATCAGGTAGGAACCTGTTACAAGTGAAATATCTGAAACCTCTCTGACCAAGAGCCTCTGATGGAATGGGAGGTGAGCTGATTTTCTGACCAGCTTGGGGCACCGTTTCAGCCACTGGTCACATTCCTTGCTTCAAACTGAAATTCAGTTTGGCTTTGAGCATAGGGATACATGGTGGATTCATGTACTTCAGTGTTTGTTTTGACCAAAGTTTATTTTTCTAAGTGCATTTTCTAAGTCAAAGTGGTGAAAATAGGTAATTTTAGTATGCATGACTGGGTCTGAAACAATAAAAATCTCTGAAAAGTTAAATGTGCGTGGGGTTCTTTTGTGATGATGACAGTTTGGATAAAGGTTCCAAGGTTCATTATTCACGGCCCGGGGAGACAGTCTCCCCTGCAGGTGAGGGAGGGAGGGGCACTGTGATAGGACAGTGCATTCTGTAGACGCGCCGGCTGCCTCTGAAGACCATACGCAGTTACACTGCTGCAGTAGGTACAGGAGAATGCAGCTAGCTACACAGAGCAGTAGAGGTGATATACTGATATATAAATTTTCACATTCTTGAGGCCCAGTTATACTTCTTGGACTGGCCTTAAGTCTTTCCAGTGATAGCCAGCCATTCCCTGAATGTGCATGTGGGCTGGGCACACATATGCTAAAGACACTCATAAATAATCTCTTTTAACTTTCAGCTACCCTTAATGAAGTCGCGTTACTGTTCCTGTTGGGAAAATGTAGCTTGCCCAATGACACACAACTAGCCAAATACTAAGGATGGGATTCAAACCCAGGAAGTGTGACAAGCCCACTATTTTCTCCTGATGGCAGGAGACAAATAACCAGTCCCCAGATAGAAAAGAGAGAGAAGGTAGGACTCTTTCATAGAGTAAGAAAGTACCAGACATTGACTTTTTTCCTGGCTTCTTGAAAATACAAGCAGTGGTTGTTAACCTCTCTGAAACCCAAGCTGTAACTGAACATTTTATTCCAGAAGTAAACCCAGACTCCATGAGGGGTAACTGGATCATGGCTTGCCCAACTCTGGTCCCATGCTTGCTAAGCTGTTTCTATGTCCCCTGTTTGGTACTCTATGCCCCAGAGTAGACAAAAACTAGGTCTCCATGGTAGATCTGGTGACTTGATGAGTCAGTTGAGAAATACTCTAAAACAGGAGGTACACTTTTAATGATGCAACAGGTTAAGTACTTATATTGCAGCATAACCAGCCCTTCAAGTCAGCCTTCCAGAGGAAATTGTGGAACTTAAGTTCAGTCTGTTTTTCACGTATAGAAAAATGAAGCTAACTGTTAAAATCCTTTTCTCTCACAGCAGTCTTACGAGGCCCTTTGCTATGAGTCAGTATTTTCTTGATGCCTCCTGCCCCCTCCTTACACAGTACTGGTTTGGTACCCATACACTCAATGGCAGCAAAGTTTCACATTATTGCATTTAAAGGTGAGTAATAAGACCCTTTAGGGTGCCACTCTTCTGGGGAAAATGTTTTTAACCTAATATTCATGCTCCTTCCTGAGTAGGTGCCAGCCACTAGGGATATGCTGACCTAGTAAAAAACATGAGTCACTCCCTTCAGGTGACTACTAACTTGACTTTGTCAGTGATGGATAGAGAGGCAAAACACTCTGTGCCTGAGAGTAGACAAAAACTAGGTTCCCACGGTAGATCTGGTGAGTTGATGATGAGTCATTAATGAGCCAGATGACTCCCCTACATGTCTCTAATAAATCTTGCCTCTCATATTCTTATGGGCCACGAGACAATGAGGTCTAATTGAAAAAACAACTCTTAAGCCAAGCCCTGGCTCTTACTGAGTAACCACAGGGTTAGTAACCACTTAAGAGAAGTCATGAACTTCTCTAAGCCTCAAACTGATATATAAAAGGAAACAGGGAGGGAAATAATCACCACCTTACAGGCATGTGGATACTGTCTGTTTAATGCTTGGTACACCTACCCATCTAGGTGGTTTCTATTATTCTTCTTCACCTGAGAACATAGGCATGCTGTAGCTTGAGTCATCCAGCAGCAATTAGGACATCACTGAGTTGGGTGCCTAGGTAACAAGATGGACAGACCAACACAACAGGAGTAAAGAGATGAACAGCAGCTTCCATTAATAAGCATAAGCCTACTATCTGTTATCAATCTGCACAGATCAAATGCAAGACTCATTATGTGAATACTCGCTTAAGCCTGAATGTGCAAAACGAAAACAGCCGGGTGCAGTGGCTCATGCCTGTAATCCCAACACTTTGGGAGACTGAGGCAGGTGGATCACCTGAGGCCAGGAGTTTGAGACCAGCCTGGCCAACATGGTGAAATCCCATCTCTACTAAACATACAAAAATTAGCCAGGCGTGGTGGCACGTGCCTGTAGTCCCAGCTACTCGGGAGGCTGAGGCAGAAGAATTGCTTGAACCTGGGAGGTGGAGGTTGCAGTGAGCCAAGATGGCATCACTGCACTCCAGCATGGGCAACATAGCGAAACTCTGTCTAAAAAGAAAAAAGAACCAGTTACAGATTTCTTTGTTCCTTCTCCATTCCTCACTTGACTAGCCAAAAAGGAAAAAAAAAAAAAAAAAAAAAAACACCTCTATACTGAGAACCAGGTCCACGGCTACTCTTTGGCAGGCAGTGTCTTTGATTATCAAGTGAAAGTTCTACCTCCCAACCAGGTACCCCACAAGACCAACCTAGAAAGTAAAGGAGTCCAGCATGGACCTAGAAGCTTTCTCCCAGCTTTAACAAGGTGAAAGTGGCAGCCACTGCTATTGCCTTTGATGAGTTCCTAGAGCATGTCCCTGATCTGAAAGCCAGGGCCCCAACCCGCATTCCCCAAGGCTAGGCAAGCCCTTTCATAGTGATGAAACACAAAGGTACTCATCTGGAATGAGATGCCACCCTGAGATCAGATGACTCAAAATACTCCCCTGCTTTAAATGATGATCCTGGCCTTACTCAGAATGCTGGCTTACTTATGCTTGTGTATAATTCAGCACTCACATGTATAATTCACTTGAGTCTTGATTAAACTACTGTGTTTCCTACTAACAGGCAGACTTCATTACTTCTTAAGGTAGGACCAAGCAAAGCAGGGACACTGCCTCCCGGCTTTTAAAGGGCATTTGTTACTTCAAATTAATAACAAAGTTATCATCATGAGAAAAAAATAAAAACTTTATTGGACTTTGTTACATTGATTTTACAGTTTCACACTGTATTTTGAATCACATTAAGGCAGGGGATGGGGCACTGTAATGTTTGGAAGTTTAGGACCTTTAGAGCACTTAAGCTGACCCCGCTACTGTAAAGAAAAGCGGGGTGTCTGCTTGACACTGGCAAAATAAGGGGCTACATGTCCCCATCTATCCCTCAAATCCCTTGAAATGCTACACCCTGACATAAACCACTGGTTTAAAAGACAATGATTCCAATAATTTATATCAAGTCCTGCTTCCCTATCCCCCACCTCCACCCTAACTGAGCTTGTCCCCTCTGTGTTCCTCTGTTTAATTCTGTAACAACATCTGAAATCCAGCCTCCAACAGATTCTGGCTAAACATCTCTGACCTTTGAATATTGTCTTATTTTAGCCCATAATGAGATCAGCAGCTACTGTCAGTGCTGAAAATGGGTTACACTTTGCAAAATAATTTTATTCTTTAACAATCTTGTATAATACTGAGGCTCAGCTGCCCATGGTCATAAAGCATAGTATGTACTCAACAAATACTAGCTGACCAGTTTGACAGCCAGAAAACAGCAATGCTGGGATGCAAACCCAAGCAGTCTGACTCCCAAGCCTCTTAACCATTCTTAACAGACCACCTACCTCCATTCTTCTTCAAACACGTTCTTCCTGTTTGCCACCTGAATAAACGGAACCCACTATCCACCCAGATGGTTAAACCAGAATCACTCAGAAATCTATCTCTCCCTCATATTATTCATAACTGCCAGTGTTAAAATTCTAATTGCTGGCCAGGTGCAGTGGCTCATGCCTGTAATCCTAGCACTTTGGGAGGCTGAGGCAGGTGGATCACGAGGTCAGGAGATCAAGACCATCCTGACTAACACAGTGAAACCCCGTCTCTACTAAAAATACAAAAAAATTAGTCGGGTGTGATGGCGGGTGCCTGTAATCCCAGATACTAGGGAGGCTGAGGTGGGAGAATGGCATGAACCTGGGAGGCGGAGCTTGCAGTGAGCCACTGCACTCCAGCCTGGGTGACAGAGTGAGACTCTGTCTCAAAAAAAAAAAAAAGAAAAAAAAACTAATTGCTAAGTGGTCCTCACCTGTCATTTTCTCCCCATTATTCCACTTTTCTATTTCACATCTCATATGGACTGCTCCTGGTCTCATCTCTCTAAATCCATTCTCTATATAAATCAGCCCAAGTGACTGAAGATAAAATTTGTTCACGACACTATGAATATGTTTTCAGCCACCCTTAACATACGGTCCAAACTCTTTACTGAGGTTGATAAAGCCCTTTATAATTCAGTCCCTGACTACATTTCCCCATTCCAGCTTTACTGAACTTTTTTTTCTCATCTTCCTGCCTTTAACATGCAGTTTTATCTACTCCAGAAACGTCATCTCATTTTCCCATCTCTCTCTGTCAGCTAACTTCTAAGAATTATTGGCTTAAATATCACTTTCCCCAGAAAGCCTACCATTACACCAAATACCTCTCCTTTGAGTTCTCTCCGATTCCTAAACCACAGCACTAATTTGCCATATTATAAATGTCAGCTCATTTGCTGTCTTCTCTAAGCTATTAAAGTCCAAGATGGCAGAGCCTCTATCATGTTTAACACTGTGCCCCAAAACCTACAGGGTCTAGTGCAGAACAGACAGTAAATCTTTGTTGAAAGAACTCTTTTATTCTACCTTTTTGCACACCACCTCTCATGAAAATGTTACTTGACAATGCCTTCCCTGTCTCTCATCTACCAAGTGTCTCACCTAGAGAAGATATTTAAGACAACTTTTGAATAAATTCAAGACTCTGCTCACTAGCCAGACCGTAATCTTTAGGAGGAATAGGAGCATCCAGACTAGAAGCCTGATAAAACCTGGCTATCCAGAAAATAAAGAATGGCTGCGAACTCATAAAAGTTGTTGAAAGGGCATTAAAATCTTAAAACTCTTTCTTTTTTAACCAAATACCTTCGTAGTGCAAATATAATTAATTCACATGCATTTTACTTTTACATACTCATAACAAGATAATTACACAAACTAAAGCTGCAGTGTTTTCCCAAGTGAATCTTCATTTTAACCAAACTCAC